GTGGTCGAAGGCGCGCTGCGCGAACACCACGCCGCTCTGCGCGCTCACGGACACGTAGGACGCCAGCGCCCGTGGCTCCAGGTCGCTGGCCACGATGGAGTAGGACACGCGGCCGTTGGGCCCCAGGTCGGGATCTGAGGCGCTGACTTGGAAAATAGAAGCTCCGGGCGGGTTGTTTTCTGCCACGTGGACCACGTAAGAGCCCGGGTGGAAAACAGGAGCATTGTCATTGACATCAGCAATGTTCAAGATGACACTTCTGTTGGAGGAGAGGGCTGGCCTTCCCCTGTCGGTGACTGTGATGGTAATGTTGTATTCCGGAGTCTGCTCTCGATCTAGGGCTCCATCTGTGACCAACTTGTATGTGTTTTTTGTATCTTGAACTATTTTAAATGGGAACTTTCCTTTTAGTTGGCAGAAAACTTCCCCATTAAATCCAGAATCGAGGTCATAGGTTTTGATCAGGGCAACAACAGTCCCCAACTCAGCATCTTCTAGAATATGTTTAGATTCAGAATCCAGGGTTATCTCTGGTGTATTGTCGTTTTCATCCAAAATATCTATTTGTACTTTACAGTGTGCTGTGTGATGTCCACCATCCTTTGCTTCCACCCCAATTGTGTAGCTCGCTCTCTCTTCAAAGTCCAGTCCTCCGCCAGTGGTGAGTTCCCCTGTTGTACTGTCCAGTTTGAACAGCTGTCTCACTGCCCTACCAATGTTGATGAAAGTGTAGGTGATCACAGCATTGACCCCTTCATCCAAGTCAGTGGCCATCACTCTTAGTACAGAGGAGCCCACAGGCAGGTTCTCTGGAACACTGACCCTGTAAATGTCCTGGGTGAACACTGGTGCATTATCATTTGCATCTGCCACAACCACCATGATCTGGGTAGTGCAGCTTCTGGCTGGGTCACCCCCATCCACAGCCGTGAGGACCAGGTGGTGGCGTGACTGCTCTTCCCTGTCCAGGGGAGTCTTCACTACCAGTTCTGGGTACCTACTGCCATCTGGGTTCTCCTTCTGGATCAAAGAGAAGTGTGGGTTGGGACTGAGGTAGTACTGCTGCAGGGAATTGACACCTACGTCTGAATCTTGCGCGGGTTCCAGGGCAAAGGAGGCTCCGGTTACAGCCAGTTCACTGATTTCCAATTCAGTGATATTTTGGCTAAAGGTTGGTGGATTGTCATTGACATCCTGAATTACCACACTTACATGAAAGAAGTTCAAAGGCTTTTCGGCCACCAATTCGAATTCTAGAACACATGTCGACTTCTCGCCACAAATCTGCTCTCGGTCTATACGGTCACTAACAAGTAAGTCCCCATTCTCAGTACTCACTGTAAACAGTTTCTTCTGTGCACTAACACGCAGGTTTCGAGCAGGCAAATCTCCAACGCCAACCCCCAGATCCTTGGCGAGGTTTCCCACAAGCGAGCCCCTGGCCAGCTCCTCCGGAATAGTATAGAGGATCTGCTCCGAGATCACCGGGCAGAACAAAGACAGCAAAGAGAGAAACAGCATTTGTCTCCGCCCAGCCGGGCCCTTCAATCCCAAGTGATCGCTCATCCCGCTTTCAGCGCCTTTGCCTTTCTGACTCTGAAGAGCTATGGTCGCTAAATTATCCCAAGAATTCTCCGAGCAGGAGCAACTCCTTGATTTGTCTTGGCAGGCGGGTTCTAACAAATATCTTAGCGTCACAGAGCCAGAGGCAGAGTGTCCAATTCTCGCGGTTCCGCGGTGGGCTGGCGATTCCTTTGCGCCAGGAGAAGCTGATACTTCGCTCAGTACTAGCCAACAGCGGCACCCCGCGTCTGGGCTGCAGAACTGCAGTAGTGGTTACTACATCAGCTCCAAGTAAGGAGTGGGTTAGAAGAAAATTCTACTGTGTCCTGATATAGATACTCATTTTTCTCATTTTACAAGGATTTTAACATTTTAAATATTCACTCTATCTTTGGTCTGGCTGTGATTTTATTTGAACCTGAGCTTTATCCATCTAAATCAAGTCATTTTTACTCCTCAAAGAGCAGAGGTAACTTGCTGAAGACATTGGCATCGTAGTGCTTTTCATTTCCATTTTCATAAAATGGCTATAATAACATCTTCCCTGTGTTACTTAGCAAAATTGAAGACCAAATAAAATAATATGTAGAAAATGACAAATGAAAGTAGTGGTGGTGCAGCAGAAAGTGTAATAGGAAAATTCTTGAAATATCAGCTTGATATGTATTGTCACTACTCCACTCTATTTTCTTTTTTTCTAACTTAAAAATGTTACAAATATCATAGCTTTTAGTTGTATCCTGTGTTTCACTTCCTTCTATATTATCATTGTCACCTTACCCCCCAAATAATTGATATGTAAGCAAAGAGACTGATTATTCTTATAAAACAGGAGTATGGTAAGAAGCAAGAAGAAACTCCTTGTTAGTTTCCAAGTGTCTACTTTCAAATGACTAGGATTCAAAAACTATTCCTCTGATTTTATTTTTTCCACACTACTTTACCATTGTCTCTAATGGTACTGTTTCTTCTCAACTAGCTTAGCAATGGTGAGTTATTCGAGTTTGGGGAGTGAAGTATGAGTCCTTATAATCACATATTCTAAAGAAAGTAATCTATGTCGTCCACTTTTTTTGGTCCCAAGGTTACTATCAGATCATCCCAACCCTTTGTTACTGACATTCTTGCCTTGTAAATAAGCATGTCAATTTTATGTTTCTGATAGGTCTTACAGGTTTAATTCCATTTCCAAACTAGAAATCTTCATAAAGAAACTTTTTTAACCTACACAATACATTGTCATTCTAAAACTTAGCGGATGTGTAGCAATGCTGAACTCATAGTGGAATAGCATTAGACATCTTAAACTGTTCATTGTATTCAGGATTCTAGGCAGAAACTCATGGACATCTCTACTTCATACAAACATAAAAAACAGATTCGAGACTTTGCTCCAAAACATGACTGAACAATATGGTGTGAACACTTAAATTAGTATAGAACAGTTATCTTTTCAGAGCACATGTGAAACTAAAGATTCAAATATTTCAAAGAATATGGAGTATACACAGTATATACACTCAGAGTGTTGGATCAAGCATTTCATTATATAAAGTCTATTGAAGTTTATAGAGATTTACTCAGGACACATATCCAAAGTCTGTAACATCTTCATTAAAATATAATGAAAAGAAAAAAATAATATTTATTATAAAATATAATGAAAAAATGAGTTTTCTTGTAAGAGTGAATGGTATCAGTCTCCATCCTCCATCATACAGATTCTTGTTACTCTTTTGATGTATTTGCTGTTCAGTGAATCTGCACATTTTACACTGTGATCAGAATTGTCCAGATAAAAATTAATTGGATGCCCTTCAAATAAATATTTAAAAAATAAAAATTAAGTCATAGGTTCCCACATGTAACAATAAACCATTTGTTTGGTCAGGTAATGTAGCCTACTATCCCATTCGTAATATTTTACATTTAATTTTTTTTTTTTCAACGTTTATTTATTTATTTTTGGGACAGAGAGAGACAGAGCATGAACGGGGGAGGGGCAGAGAGAGAGGGAGACACAGAATCGGAAACAGGCTCCAGGCTCTGAGCCATCGGCCCAGAGCCTGACGCGGGGCTCGAACTCACGGACCGCGAGATCATGACCTGGCTGAAGTCGGCCGCTTAACCGACTGCGCCACCCAGGCGCCCCCCCATTCGTAATATTTTATTGCAATTTCCCCTATTTATTCATACTTTGCAGCTGATAAAGTACAGTATTTGAAAAATTTAAAGAGAAGCATCTGAAAATCATCTTCAGTAAATCAGATATCAAAAATGAAAAGGGTAGTTCTTCTTTTAAAAAAAATTTTTGTTTAATGTTTATTCGTTTTTGAGAGAGACCGAGATAGAGTGGATGGGAGAGAGGCAGAGAGAGGGAGACATAGAATCTGAAGCAGGTTTCAGGCTCTGAGCTGTCAGCACAGAGCCAGATGTGCAGCTTGAACCCATGAACTGGGAGATCATGACCTGAGCTGAAGTTGGAAGCTTAACCAACTGAGCCACCCAGGTGCCCCAAAAGGGTAGTTCTTCTTAAGCAACACACACTCATGAATTTTAATACCCAATGAAATACCCACATTTCATTAAGAAGGATTATTAATTTAAGATGAGCATGTGAATTTCAAAATTTTAAACAATTTTTATGTTGAATTGATTTTCCAAGTACAAATCTTAGAGTCCGGGGTGCCTGGGTGGCTCAGTCGGTTAAGTGTCTGACTCTTGATTTTGGCTCAGGTCATGATCTCACAGTCATGAGATCAAGCCCAGCATGTCTGGCTCCATGCTGGGCATGAAGCCTGCTTAATATTCTCTCCTCCTCTCCCTCTACCCTTCCCCTGCTCATGCTCTCTCTCTCTCTCGCTCAAAAAATAATAAATAATTTTAAAAACCACAAATCTTAGAGTCTAGTAATAAAGCAGAATTGTACTGACACTTGAATAAATGCAAACATTCAAGTAGATATTGATTCTAAAAAGTGAAGAGGTTATCTGTAACCAGATGATTCCAGGTGTAATGGCATATTAATGGTGTATTTAATGAATGTAGCAAAATATAATTCTTTGGAGATTTTAAACTGTATCAGAAAATAAAGTTCTAAGGCTCTTTCTCACTGATTTTTTCTCTCAACAAATACACATGTCCAGTAATTACATAGATTAACCCAAAGTTTCCAGACTTGAGAATGCCACAGACTATAGATTTGATGTTTTTTATTTTTTTCATGTAGTTTTCTATATTCCTCCACTGATTCATGAAAATACTGTAAATTATTTCCTTATAGAAACAGTATACTAAAACTTCAATGCTGTACACTATTCTTCCAAAACATATTCACCATTGGTGTTTACACAAATATTCAAAAGAGAACATTACATGTAACAATTTGGACTAATCAAACAACTCTTCTATTAACATAATAACAATTCTGGGGCAGCTGGGTGGCTTAGTTGGTTCAGTATTTGACTCTTGACTTTGTCTCTGGTCACGGTCTCACAGTTTGTGAGTTAGAGCCCTGCATCGGGCTCTGCACTGAAAGCACGGAGCCTGCTTGGGATTCTCTCTATCCCTCTCCTCTGCACCTCCCCGCCTCTCAAAATAAATAAACATTAAAAAAACATAACAGTTGTATAAGAAAGTCTTTGGGTAAAGCGATCATGTTTCATTTATTTTTAAGACTATGGATATCAGCTAGATTGTCTAGAAATTTCATGTATTGAAAAAAAAGACATTAAACCCAAAATATAATTTGAAAACAAATGAAGAGAGCATCATCAAATTAAATCAAGTCAATCTCTAAATAAAACATACAACGATTGATTATTTATATAATTAACCAACTTTGAATATGGCAGACAAATGATTGAGGAAACAAATGAAAAAAATGCTACAAGCAATGATACTAGAAAAAAAAAAACCTCACCTGTACAACTCCTAGCTCTTCGTTTACATTTATCTTCTCAGATATCAGAGGAGGCTCGCTTTTCCCACAGCTCTCCTGACTGATGAGTGTGTCTGCATAGTTGGGCTGGGGGAAGATCATGTGACTGTTCCGGGAGTCTGCTGTGAGGGAGACCTCGTGGGAATAAGTCTGCAGGAAAGCTCGCACCCCGTCCACACCCACAAAGTGCGAGGTGGGCATGCCAGCCAACCTGCTTCCTGATGCCTGGAGCTGACTTGAAGAGTGCCAGCGTCTCAGCCTGAGTGCCAGTAGCACGATGACAAAGGTGAGGAAGACACAGGAGACTATAGCTACTGCCACCACAAGGTACAGTGTGAGACTGGAGTCGTCAGCATAGGATGAAGGCTTGAGGCTGTCCAGGTCAGCCAGGACATCTGGGATACTGTCAGCTACAGCCACAGTGAGTGTGACAGTAGCTGAAAGAGGGGGCTGGCCATGATCCTGGACCACCACCACTAAGCTCTGCTTGAGCGCGTCTCTGTCCAGCAGGGCCCGTGCAGTGCGCACCTCACCCGTGTGTAGCCCCACCGTGAAAAGTCCTGGCTCGCTGACCTTGAGCAGGTGGTAGGACAGCCAGGCATTCTGGCCAGAGTCTCTGTCCACCGCCACCACCTTGGTCACTAGGTATCCGGGCTCTGCGGATCGGGGAGCCAGCTCCACACCAGTGGAGCCATCGGTGGGAATGCTGGGGTACAGGATTTCAGGGGCATTGTCATTCTGATCCAGCACAAACAGGCTCAGTGACATGTTGCTACTAAGTGGAGGGTCTCCACTGTCACTGGCCATTACCCACAGCTGCAGATCTTTAACTTGCTCGTAGTCAAAAGAGCCCAGAGCATACAGGATGCCTGTATTGGAGTTGATGAAGACATAGGTAGACAGAGACATTCCTTGAAACATATCCTCAGCCAGAGAGTAAGTGATCTTGGCATTGTTGCCGCTGTCAGGGTCGTGTGCAGTCACAGATAAAATTGAGATGCCTCTGGGATTGTTTTCCAGGATGTAGGTGGAGTATGAGGTGTGAGGGAAGATGGGAGGGTTGTCATTGATGTCTGCCACATTCAGGGAGATGTGGCTTTCTGTAGACAGGGGTGGGTTTCCACTGTCAATGACAGTTATTGTGATGTTATAATCTGAGATCTCTTCTCTGTCCAGGGCTTTCGTTGTCAATAAGTGATAATAATTATCAACTGACTTTTCCAATTTAAAGGGCAAGTTCCTGGGGATAGAACACACAATCTCACCATTCTCTCCAGAATCACCATCATGTACACTAAACAGTGCAATTACAGTTCCAGGAGGACAGTCTTCAGAGACGGAACTAGCAAGGGATGTGAGGATCACTTCTGGGACATTGTCATTCACATCCTGTACTGTCACCAATACCTTAGCACTGGCAAGAAGAGCACCTCCATCCTGAGCTACCACTTCCATGAGGTAGAATCTGGATTCCTCATAATCCAGTGATTGCAGAGTTGAGATTTCACCCAGGCTGGAATCAAGTTGGAAAGTCTCTGAAATCTTATCTTCTTCATTGCGAAAAGAGTATGTTAATTCCCCGTTTACTCCCTCATCTGGATCCGTGGCGGTTAGTGTAAGCAGCTGAGAGCCTACAGGTATGTTCTCTGGAACAGTCACTCTGTACTCAGATTGAGTGAAGAGAGGCGCATTATCATTTGCGTCGAGGACCACCACGTGTATGTGCATACTACTAGAGAGTATGGGGTCTCCACCATCTAAAGCTGTGAGAAGAAGGTCGTGGACAGCTACTTTCTCGCGGTCCAAGGGCCGTTCCAGTACCAGCTCCGGATATTTTTGTCCATCAGTTCCGCTTTTCTGCTCCAGAGAGAAGTGCATATTGGGGCTGAGCTTATAACTCTGGAGAGAGTTCATACTCACATCCGCGTCTCGAGCGAAAGGAAGTGCTAACCGAGTTCCCGTAGCCGCATTTTCATTAACTTTTACTTTTACTTCCTCATCCCGGAAACGTGGAAAGTTATCATTAATATCTATTATTTCTATTTCTACTCCATAAATTTTCATGTTATTCTCAAGCAAGATGTTAAAACTCACCACACACCGTGCGCTCTGAGCGCAGAGCTCCTCCCGGTCTATCCTGCCTGCGGTGACCAAACTGCCGCTTCGCGAGTTCAGAGAAAAGAGCCGCGTCCTACCTCTGGAGACGATGCGGACGCCACGCTCCGCCAGCTCCCGGGGCTCCAGACCCAGGTCCTTGGCGATGCTGCCCACGAAGGAGCCTTTGTCCAGCTCCTCCAGCACCGAGTAGCGGATCGGCCCAGCTCCAGCTCTCCATAACGTCTCCAGGAGCAGGAGGAGCAGAAGCGGCTCTATGCAGCCCCAACCCCTCAGTGTATCCGCCATTTCCTTCTCTCCGACCAGTTTCCTTAGTCCTAATTCCAGCCTGCTGTACCTGCTGTACCCTTATTTCTTTCAAGTCAAAGGAAACACATTACTTGACAGAAACGCGAGGCTTTTCCCCAAATTTCTCTGGTCTGTGTTTGTTTAGGGCGCAAGGAGCAGAGTCAGGTCGCCTTCAGCGGACAGCTTTTCCACTTTGGTGAACAGCGACGCTCAGAGTCCTATCCAGTTACTACACCAATTCTGTTTTTATTTCATAAATGTTTAATTATATTTTATTTCTAATAATTTTGCTGTATTCTTAACCTATTGACAAGTGACATTACTCATATCTAAGATTTAATTCTGAAATATCAAAGGACTTCCACAAACCTTGAGATCAATATAATTATTACATTTTTATTTCTTTAGAAAAGTTTTATTTAATGTGCCATTGAGTCTATGTCCTTTATTTACCTCTTACCTATACTGAGTCCATTAAATTAGGACATTAGAATTCTTAATTTTGTAGGCTTTAAAATTTCATCTTTTTATTAGGATATATTTATGAAAACGTACCTACTATGGATAAGAATGTCCAGGAAACAAACCTAGCTCTCATCGCACCACTGCATAAAGGCCTACTGATTCAAGCAAATTGTATTAGATGTTGTAAACAGAGAAAATAAAGGGTCCATTTTGCTACTTGAGGTCTTTAAGAAAGTTCCCAGACTTTCACACTAAGAGTTTGGCAGCTTCACTATATCAGACTAAGAGTCTGAGTTGGGTTAACTACACATTATTTATATTTCCCTATTATCATGTCTAAATTGGAGTTAAGGCATTTTACAGTGACAGACTCTTGGGGAAGTCAGTGTAGTGACTGAAGAAAAGGGCTTTCGTTCGTCACCTAGGCAGAAAAACATGTCCAGATCCTTAGTGAGCAGGCAAGTGCCCTTTCTATGTTGAGACGGATATTAAATGCTATCACCTTTACATGGTAGCAGGAAAAAAAGCCTCACGATTGAAAACAAAGGGACATTTCAGAGAGTCCACTGAGAAAAGCAATTTTTTCCCTAATGACACCTCCATAGGAAAAGAAACAACACAAAGAGATTTTATACCTATAATTAGAAAATTCAAAAAAGAAAGTTTTAGGTAAACAATGTGAGTATAATTTGCAAAATTTTTCTCATTGTACAATTTTTCACAAAAGCAATTTGTTATATGCATGAGAGAGAACAATTTCTCCCACTTATTAAATACATTCTTTTTAAAAGTTTATTTATTTATGAGAGAGGTAGAGCATGAGCAGGGAAATGCAGAGAAAGACAGAATCCCAAGAAGGCTCCACACTGACAGGGCTCAATCTCATGAATCATGAGATCATGACCTGAGCCAAAATCAAGAGTCAGACACTTAACCACTGAGCCACCCAGGCACCCCCATAAACACACTCTTAATAACAGGTACTACAGGCCTCAAATATTGCTTATCCTTTAAAAACAGATCTGAGATCTCAAGACATTAAGCTTGAAAAGATACTTAGAAGGGAGGTCTACAATTCAGTCCTACCCATGCCCTGCTGTTGACAAGCCATGACACTGGGTAAAATTTTCTTTTTGGTTCCCAGTTTTCCCAAACGAGGAACATGGAAAGCTCTCTTTACTCTGAAGTGCTATAATTCTAAGAGGAAGTAAAACTAAAATCTGAGTAATAAAGATCTGTAGGGTAAAAGGAATAGCTTAAGATCCCAGTAGTAATGAAATTTCAGAGGAAAGTAATATAAAGATGAAGCAGAAACTATTTCGTGTAGTAAAGGCTTGTAATTATGGACAAATAAATCTCACACATCAGAGAGAAAACCTATGTTAAAATTCTGTTTAGATAAGATTAAGATAACTAAGGCAGAAAACTGCCTAAATTGAGCCCACAAGACAAAATATGAAATAGTGATTCCTACGCCAGTAAGGTGATTTGTTAACAAACATTGAAACCCAAAATGAAAACTAGCGAAGTAAATTAAAACTCACCTTTAGAATAGTATCTGATGCAAATGGGACCCCAGCGCCTTCATGATTTGTATTTGGTAACCAAGCGGCATCTTCACAGAGGAGATCCTGAGAGGGAGTCACTTCCGGGGTGACATTAAGAAAATTAAACTCTGTCTTAGCTAACTGTGAAGCAACGCACAGATTGTAGGAATAAGGCAAAGTCCCTTCTCTGTGTCAGGAGGAGCCGAATTCAGGTGAACGGAGGCCTGACTGAAAGCAGCCCCAGGCAGCAGGGCTTGGGGAGCGGCGCAGGCGCAGGGCCACCGCCAGAATCACCGCAAGGAGGAAGAGCACCGAGATCAAGGCCAAAGCCACCACCAGGTAAAACTGCAGCTCGGCCTGGGGGTCAGAGGGCTCCGGGCGGTCGCTGACATCCGGCAGTACTTCTTGGAGGCTGTCGGCGAAAACCAGGTGCAACGTGGCGGTGGCAGAGAGGGGCGGCTGTCCCCCGTCAATCCGCCGCGACGACCAGCGAAGCTGGCGGGCGATCCTGTCATGAAAGCAACGCGATGCGCACCCTCGCCGGTCTGCAGCCCAGGCTCGAAAAGAGTCGGGCTTTCGCTGGCCTACCCGATGGTCGACGGCTCCGCGCAGCATTGTGTCCCGAGTCGGCGTCCACCGCCACCACTGTAGTGACCAGGTAGCGGACTGCGCGCTTGGCGCGCCGCGCCAGCGTGTTGACGGCGCTGACCGTCAGGCTGGCGCCCGAATTTTGCTTTTCGGCGCGTTAATCGTTACGCGATAAGCCCTGTAAGCGCCGAATCCCCACGTTGAAGGCGGCGTAGCCGAGGCGGAGCCCTGGTCAGCGGGCGAACTCACACCGTCAGCTTCAGAAGGCAACGCCTTTCGTGGTCCGGCGGCTGCGCGAACACCTGCCTGCCGCTCTGCGCGCTCACGGACACGTAGGACGCCAGCGCCCGCGGCTCCAGGTCGCTGGCCACGATGGAGTAGGACACGCGGCCGTTGGGTCCCCAGTGGTCGGGCGGCGGCGGCTGGCGATGTCGACTTTCCTGGAGGGTTGTTCTCGGCAATATGAACCAAATAGAAAACCTGTTCGAAAACTGGCGCGTTGTCGTTGACATCTGCGATGTGCAGAGTGATGTTTATACTAGAGGAGAGGGGCGGCTTACCTCTGTCGGTGGCCATTATAGTGATGTTATATTCTGGATTCTCCTCCCGGTCCAGGGGCCCGTCTGTCACTAGCTTGTAATAGTTCTTGGAGTAAGATTTCAATATAAACTCGGCCTTTCCCAAGATGCGGCAGTAAACTTCTCCATTTTCTCCAGAGTCTCTATCTCTTGTTTTTATCAAGGCGATCACAGTTCCTGGTGGTGAATCTTCTGGTAGCGGAGTAAATACCGAAGTAATAACCATTTCAGGTGCACAATCATTCTCATCGAGAATTTCAACTTGGATACTGCAATAGGCTGCTAGATCTCCATGATCTTTTGCTTCTACACTGAGAGTGTAACTATTAGCAATTTCAAAATCAAAATTATCCTTTGTTGTGATTTCACCTGTTCTTTTATCTAAGTTAAAAAACTTTTCCACTAGTTCATCCACATGATGAAAGGAGTAGGTGATTTCTGCGTTGACGCCCTCATCCTGATCAGTGGCCGTTACTTGAAGCACGGAGAAGCCCAGAGGTACACCTTCCTGCAGGCTGACCTTGTACACGTCCTGGATGAAAACTGGGGCATTATCGTTGGCATCGGTCACTTGGATTTGGATCTGAGCGGTGCCGCTTTGGGGTGGGTCTCCACCATCCACAGCTGTTAGAACCAATTGATGGAGATTCTGTTCTTCTCTGTCTAGTGAATGTTTCAGAACCAACTCAGGATATTTACGTCCATCTGGAGCCTGTTTCTCTATGAGATCAAAGTGTTCATTGTCATTAAGATGGTATCTTTGCAGTGAATTTGGGCCAGCATCTGAATCCAGGGCCGGGTCTAATGGAAATGTTTTACCTGGCTTAGTGGATTCTCCAATTTTTAAATCAATATTATTCTGTTTGAATAGCGGGGTATTGTCATTTATATCCTGTACTATTACTGCTACATGGAAAATATTTAGTGGGTTTTCAGCGACAGTATCGAAATCCAGAATACACAGAGGCTTCTTTCCGCATATCTGCTCTCGGTCTATTCTGTCACTCACAAGTAAGTCCCCACTCTCAGGGTTTACAGTGAAATATTCTTTCTCCGCACTAACCCGCAGCTTCCGGGCTGGCAAATCCCGGACACTGAGCCCCAGATCCTTGGCGAGGTTTCCTACCACCGAGTTTTTGGCCAGCTCTTCGGGAATTGAATAGCGGATTTGATCTGGAAGAGCCCCGCGGAACAAAGACAGCAGGAAGGGCAACAATACCTGCCGCCACCGCGCTGGGCTGCTCCTTTCTGCGCTCGGCCTCGGCCTCATCCTGTCTCCCTTCACGGTGGCTCTGCTTTTTGGATGGGAGGAGAATTAAGCCCTCTGTGGATGGCAAAATCCCGGGTAGGGTCGCTTTTCCTGCTTTTGTTTTCTGTATCCGAATCAGTACTGGTGTCCTCTATGAGGCTGGTTTGAGCAGGAAGTTACCCTCTAAGAGACTCCCAAATGCTTTTTCTCTCACTTTTTTGACCTACAGCGACACCCAGAGGTTTTCCCGTGGAAATGCACCAAATGCTTATAAACGTTTTGCGAACCTTTCTTTTTTGAATCTACAGTTGTTTTTAAATATATATTCATGTATCTCCAAAATTGAAGAGGTACATAACGCATATTCTCTCCCTGTCTTGTTTCAATACCACATTTATCCCTAGAGAAATAAGTATTACGTTTTTGTGTGTATCATTCCAGAGATGTTTTGTGTAGTGCAGCAAATTTTTATAAATGTTCTCCCCCACGTTAATACATAAATGTAAGTATACAATATACCATGTTCTGCATCTTGCTTTTTTCATTCATTGTATCTTGAAATCATTTCATATAAGTACATAGCTTTCCAATTTATTTCTTACAGTTATGTAGTAATCCATCATATGGTTGTACAATAATTTACTTAATCAGAAATATTTTCTAAAAGAAACCCAGTGCCCAAACAAAAATGTTTTTTTCTGTGTGATATTAGGGTGTTAATTATCTACTGCTCTCCTAGGCATTTAAAATAGGTATCACTCTGATTCTGGAATGTATTCCTAATGCCAACCTCCAAAAATGCTTGACAGTTTCAGGCCAATTGGTATTTCCAAATTTTCTTTTAAAGCTTCAGTATTTTAAATAATCTCAGACAAATAATCTCTCCTCAGATAAGCTTCAATATTTTACATAATCTCCCCTCAGAATCTTGCTCAATATTATTTCCTCTCTCCTTTCCCCATGCCAGACAATTGTATCACATGACATTCTGTTTATTCTATGTATTGCAACACAGTTTCCCATGAAGGCAAAAGCATTTAGAAACTAAAATGCAGGATGCTTGTGTGGCTCAGTCCAAAAAGCATGTGACTCTTGATCTTGGGGTCATGAGTTTGAGCCCCATGTTGGGTGTAAAGATTACTTAAACTAAAAAGAAAATTGTTTTAAATAAGTAAATTCTTTTTTAAAAACTAAAATGCCCTTTCTTAAATTGAATTGAGGCATAGTTCACAGTTTACTGCTACAGTTCCCAGCTATGAAAGAGCACTAATTTGTGTTGCCCTACACACTCTTGAATTCTTAATTATCTCATGGAACTAAATGAAGGCACATTTAACAAAAGTGTTGCATATCCCTTGAACACAAAATATTTCCCCCATATCAGATCATCCCAGAGCCATCTCAGAGCTACCTGAGAGCAATTTTCAGGAACAGGGATGAGGCCTACTTACTAAGTAGCATAAATCATATCAGTTCAGAATCTAAGTTACCCAATCTCCACAAGTGACTCTCATGATGAAGAAGGAGAGATTTTGAAAGGTATATTTTCCTTAGAAATTGAAAAGGGTCTCATTGTGATGCCATAATAGGAAATTTATAAATTATTAAAATTATTCCTTCAACCTACTTAAAGATGAGTGAAATAAAATGTGCAATATTTTTCGTAATCCCAGAAGTGAGCCAAAGGAATCACATGTAGTCACTACTGGTGTATCTCACAAACTGCAACAACAAAATATTTGAAATATACCAATCCTAATGAGAGCTATCCTTGTTAAAATTAGATCTAAAAGCTAATATTTTGGGGGAGGGGAAAAATAGTTACAAACAGAGAGGGAAGGAGGCACACCATAAGAGACTCTTAAATACAGAGAACAAACTGAGGGTTGATGGGGGGATGAGGGAGGGGCAAATGGGTGATGGGCATTGAGAAGGGCACTTGTTGGGATGAGCACTGCGTGTTGTACATAAGCGGTGAATCATGGAAATCTACCCCAAAAACCAAGAGCACTCTGTACACACTGTATGTTAGCTAATTTGATAATAAATTATACTAAATAAATAAATAAAGGTTAATATTTTCTCCAATATTTATAAATTGCCACTGTTTGTTTAACTATAATGGAAAATACCCTTTCAAGGAAAAACAAACTTCAAGCAAAGTGTAAAAAAGAGGACAGTTAAAAATACTCAGTCTTCTATTAAAGAAGAGAGATGCTTAGAGATATATAGTTAAGAAATTGTTGTTGAAACTGTAACTACATGAAGACTAAAAATGATAAATAATAAACAGCTTTTAGGAGTACTAACTGCTATTGATTATTCTTGAGGAATCATCTGCTCCTCCCCTTTAAAGTAATAGAATACTAAAAAAAAATGCCTTTACTTCATCAATTACCTACCTTATACAGTTGGAGACATTTATATAGCTCTTTGCCTATGTTTTGGTGTGGCAAGATTGACTCACCTGATGAGAACCAGGGTCTCCTTTTGTTTCAAGTAAATCCTGAGTTATGAGAAGAGGCTCGCTTTTCCCACAGCTCTCCTGGCTGAGGAGCGTGTCGGCATAGTTGGGCTGGGGGAAGATCACATGACTCTCCCTGGAGTCTGCCCTGAGGGAGACCTCCTGGGAATAGGTCTGCAGGAAAGCTCGCACCCCATCCATGCCCACAAAGTGCGAGGCTGGCACTCCAGCCAATCCGACCCCCACAGCCTGGAGCTGACGCGAAGTGTGCCAGCGCCTCAGCCTGAGCGCCAGCAGAACAATGACAAAGGCAAGGAAGACACAGGAAACTGTGGCCACCGCCACCACCAGGTACAGCGTGAGGCTAGAGTCATCAGCATAGGCTGAGGGCTTGAGGCTGCTCAGGTCAGCCAGGACTTCTGGAATGCTTTCAGCCACCGCCACAGTGAGTGTGACAGTGGCTGAGAGAGGGGGTTGGCCGTGGTCCTGCACCGCCACCACCAGACTCTGCTTGAGCGCATCTCTGTCCAGCAGGGCCCGTGCAGTGCGCACCTCGCCCGTGTGCAGCCCCACCGTGAAGAGCCCTGGCTCGCTAGCCTTGAGCAGACGGTAGGACAGCCAGGCGTTCTGGCCAGAGTCTCTGTCCACTGCCACCACCTTGGTCACCAGGTAGCCAGGCTCTGCTGATCGGGGTGCCAGCTCCACGCCTATGGAACCATCAGTGGGGAGAGCAGGGTACAGGATTTCAGGGGAATTGTCGTTCTGATCCAGAACAAAAATACTCAAGGACACATTGCTGCTGAGTGGAGGGTCCCCACTGTCGCTGGCTGTCACTAGTAGTTGCAGGTCTCTAACCTGCTCATAGTCGAAGGAGCACAATGCATACAGGACACCAGTATCAGAGTTGATGGAAACATAGAAGGAGAGAGGCATCCCGTGGAGTGTGTCCTCAGCTAAGGAGTAAGTTACTCTGGCATTCTCAATGCTGTCAGGGTCCTGGGCAGACATGGATAAAATGGAAGCTCCTCTAGGGTTGTTTTCAGGAATGTAGGCAGAGTAGGAAGCATGAGGGAAAGTAGGTGGGTTGTCGTTGATGTCTGCCACATGCAATGAGATGTGAGTTTCTGTAGACAGTGGTGGAGTTCCATGATCAGTGGAAGTTACTGTGATGTTATATTCTGAGACTTCTTCCCTATCCAGTGTTCTTTGTGTCGACAGACGATGATAATTTCCATAGGTCTTTTCAAGTGTGAATGGCAGATTATCCAGAATAGAACATGTGACAAGGCCATTCTCTCCTGAATCACTGTCATGCACATTGAAAAGTGCAATTACTGTACCTGGGGAAGAAGTTTCTTGGATAGAACTGGTGAGAGATGTAACTGTGACTTCTGGAGCATTGTCATTTACATCCAGAACTGTCACCAGAACTTTACTTCTGGCTCGGAGACCAGGTCCATCATGGGCTTCTACATCTATATCATAGAATCCAGAGTCTTCATAATCTAGATCCCCCACTATTGTTATGTCCCCAGTCAAAGAATTCAACTGGAATAGTTGGGACATTTTATCACTCACTTTGCGGAAAGAATATGTTACTTCTCCATTGGCTCCTTCATCTGGATCAGTAGCCTTTACAGTGAGTAGCCAGTAGCCCACTGGCACATTCTCCGGAACATTCACGTGGTACTCTGGCTGAGTAAATACAGGAGCATTGTCGTTGGTATCCACAAGAGTTACATGAATCTCGACAGTGCCAGAGCGAACCAGGTCGCCTCCATCAAAGGCAGTGAGGAGGAGGTGGTGAACCGCCTCTTCTTCTCTATCTAGGGCAAGCTCCAGCACCAGCTCAGGGTACTTAATGCCATCCACTCCACTTTGCACGTCTAGGGAGAAGTGAACATTTGAACTGAGCTGGTAACCCTGCAGGGAGTTGACCCCTACATCTGGATCAAAAGCTTCAGGAAGAGGAAATCTTGTCCCAGGATTTTCATTTTCAGCGACTTTTATTTCCCTTTGCTCTATCCCAAAGTTGGGTGCGTTATCATTAACATCGATTATTTCCACTTCTACTCCAAAAATCTTCACTTTGTCCTCCAGAAGAATCTCCAGGCTTACTACACACTTTGGAGATCTCTCACAGAGCTCTTCCCGGTCTATCTTACCCGCGGTGACCAAGCTGCCGCTTCGAGGGTTCAGAGCAAAGAGATGCGTCCTACCTCTGGAGATGATGCGGACTCCCCGCTCTGACAGTTCCCGGGGCTCCAGTCCCAGGTCCTTGGCGATGTTGCCCACATAAGAGCCTTTGTCCAGCTCCTCAGGCACCGAGTATCGTATCTGTTCCGCCTGTATTTCCCAGAGAGCCCCCAGGAGAACGCAGATCCTGCCCAGCCGGCTGCAGTTTGGCCGATAAGGAGGAGCCGCCATTGCAGCCCCGCTGCGGAATAGCTTGCACTTGGGTGCTCCCTTAGTGGAGGTCAGAGGAGCCCCAGAATCTTCAGGGTCCAAGATTATGTGCTTTCACCGTTGGATGATGGAGTTCTGGGGTCCAGTCTGAAGCTTCCCAAAGCCACAGGGCTAGTGCTTTGTGATGCAGAAATCTTGTGGTTTGGATTAAATTCCTTGTTGTCTTTTTCGCCTGACTGGTGAACAGCGACACTCAGAGTCCTAACCTGTTACTGCAATCTATTCTTGGTAAAGAAAAGATGTTTATACCATTTCTTTTCCATAATTTATTTCTCCCCAAAAGAATAAAATTCAAGCTCCCGTTATTTTATTTGTAATAAAAATCCAGGCATGACCCAAATGTTACTGTACAATAAGCCCTCTAAAGTAATTTATTTGTTTTTAAAGAAAATATGGTGATTTTTTCTAACATTTTTTTTCTCTCCTAAGTTTTTCCATTATTTATTTTCATAGCCCATTTTCAGTACAGTGCATTGTGTGAGTGACACATTTATCCTTTACAGGAACAAGGATTAACTTGAAGAATGAAAGAATAGGTGAAAAAACAGTGTCAGGTCGGGGAAGTCGGAAGTCTGAGCTCTAGTCCCTTCCTATCCAGAAACAAGTTCCCTCGCATGAGTTGACCCTTTAAAATATGGGCAACTTTTCAATTCTCTTGTAAAAAACATCTACTGTTCAAGAGCTAGTCTTACCCCTGAGCAAATGGGGTTGGCAAATATGATAATAGGTTTGGGAAGGTAATTGGTTTATTAATTTTGTATAAAGAAAATTTTAGACCACAGCTATGTTTGTGACTATCATGTTCACAGTCTGTCCTCAAATTTTAGAACAGCACCTTTCATAGAGTAGATACTCAGTTTTTCATTGTTTAATGAGTGCATCACTAATATAAATGCAAAGCCCTAAAACAATTGGTAAATAACTCTGATATTAAAAATAAATAATAAAGATAAAAAAGACAGAAAAGTTAAACTGAAGTTTTGTATGTAAACAGCAGACAATATTCAGTACCACATAAAGACACATCCAGAAAGTATTATTTTACTATTATCTATAAGTTTAATTTAAGTTTGATTTTAGAAATAACCACTAAAAGGAAAGTTTTCATATATATATATATATATATATATATATATATATATATATATATGTATGTGTGTGTGTGTGTGTTATCATTGCATGTTTCAGAGTTTTCTTACACATGAATACTTTGAGTAACTTACTAATCGTAGAAAACTTAATATAAAGCAGCAAGTAGCCAGTTCTTTAGATTATTCCTCACATAATAATTACCTTCTAGAAGTTACTTATGCATTCTATCAGACAAGAAAGGCTATTGTTTATTCAGAGTATTAAAGTCATCAAATTTTGGAGAGCATACTAAAGGTAATTTTCACAATCCTCAAAGAACTCACAAATTGTTGGGGATTAAGAGGTAAAATGAGGTGTTTGGAAAAACTTTGACTCACTTCTCAGAAACCTATACTGAAAAAAAGAATTATGAAAGAGGCTTTATACACAAAAAGGCTCATTACATTCCTCATCATAACAGCAACAAAGTAGAGGGTATAAAAATAAGTTACTACATAATGGTTAAGAAGGTTATTTTTCAATATATTTTTTAAAGTTTATTTTTGAGAGAGACATAGCAAGCAAAGGAAGGGCAGAGAGAGGGAGAGAGAATCCTAAGCAGGCTCCACACTACCACTACAGAGCACAACACAGGGCTCAAACTCACGAACTGTGAGATCATGACCTGAGCCAAAATCAAGAGTTGGATGCTTAACTGACTGAGCCATCCAGGTGCCCCAAGATAGTTATTTTTTAAAAGATTTTATTTTTAAGGAATCTCTACACCCAGCATGGGGCTTGAACCCACAAACCCTAGATGGAGAGTCATAGGTTCTACTAACTGAGCAAGACAGGTGCCCCCCAAAATTATTTTTGAATGAGACTACGGAGTGGGAATAAAATTCACTGGAAACTAGTGATCCAAATCACTGTTTGCCACATGTGAGAAGGCAAAGAAGTGCTAAGAAACTTAACTCTTGGAAGGTTCTATTAAAAATACGCATTGCAACAAAAAGATGAAAAAAACTATAATAGATTTGATGGACTTTAACTTAAGCAGGAAGGACTGTCAGTACATTTACGTAGAATAAAGTTTGAAAAAAACAGTATCACACATCAACTAAGAAAGGACAATACTCTTACTAAAGGTGGTGACATCCCAGAACGAGCTCTCCTTACCAATATTTTTTGATGATACAAAATTGCCAACAGTACAGATTGAGAAATACTAATTATGTAACTGCCAAGACTATTGGGCAAATAAGGAACCAGTCTCCGCCCATCCAATAAACCTCTTCTACCACTACCATCACTAGGAAAATGAAAAACAATAAACAAAAGAATTATGCACAATTGAGAATAAAAGCATGTTTGCAGAAACTCACGTGAGAGGCAAAAGACGAGTCATAAGCGATTTGGGGGTCTTCACTGCGGGCACATACATCCATACAAGGATCTTCACAAAGAAGATCCTGAGGCGGAGTCATTTCTGGTTTCAGGTTGGAAAAATTAAACTCTGTCTTGGCTGATTGTGAGGCAACGCACAGATTGTAGGAATAAGGCAAAGTCCCTTCTCTGTAATCGGGGAGAACCCCAGGTCCAGATTTGGAACGGAGGCCTGACTGAAAGCAGCCCCAGGCAGCGGGTCGAGGGGCGGGCTGGCAGCACCAACCAGAATCACCGCAAGGAGGAAGAGCACCGAGATCAAGGCCAAAGCCACCACCAGGTAAAACTGCAGCTCGGCCTGGGGGTCAGAGGGCTCCGGGCGGTCGCTGACATCCGGCAGTACTTCTTGGAGGCTGTCGGCGAAAACCAGGTGCAACGTGGCGGTGGCAGAGAGGGGCGAGTGTCGTCCGCCGCGGCCACCTCAGCGGGCAGCTGGCGTGCATGCGATCCCCAGATAGCCTCAAGCACGCGCTGGACACCTGCCCGCGCGCACCAGACTGAAAAGAGTCCGAGCTCCTTCTGGCCTGCAAGCGTGATACAAGCCAAGCGATTAGTCCCGAAGTCGGCGTCCACCGCCACCACCTTGGTGACCAGGCTGGCTGGCGCGCGGGCGCCAGCGCGTGTGTCGAAGAGCCGCCGAGTCATCGGCCCCACGGGTGGTTGCTGACCAGGCTACATCGCGCGGTCGCCACCACACGCACGGCAGGCTCGCTGGAGGCGAGCGGCGAAGCTCCCATTCCGGCCTGCAATCATTAGCTGGAGCAGCGCAAGAGTTGCCGGTCAAGGCGCTGCGCTGAATACCACGCCGCTTCCGGCGCGCCGCCACGAGAGGACGCCAGCGTGCCCGTATTCCAGTCACGGCGTAGGAGACGTGGCCGTTGGGTCCCAGGTCGGGGTCGGAGGCGCTGACTTGGGCGATGGAGGCTCCTGGAGGGTTGTTCTCCATCACGCGGACCACGTAGGAGGCCTGGTGGAAAACCGGCGCGTTGTCGTTGACATCGCTGATATGCAGGGTGACGCCTGTACTGGAGGATAGGGATGGCTTGCCCTCGTCAGTGGCTGTGATGGTGACATTGTACTCTGCCATCTGTTCCCTATCTAGGGCATTGTCAATCACCAACTTGTAATAATTCTTGGAGGTGGATTCTAATTTGAAGGGAACTTCTTCCTGAATATAGCACCTCACCAGTCCATTTTCCCCAGAGTCTCGGTCTCTCACTTTAAAGAGAGCTATTACGGTTCCAATGTCTGAGTCCTCGGGAATCTGGTTAGAAAAGGACATCAACGTGACCTCTGGGGCATTGTCATTCTCATCAACAATTTCAATCTGAACATTACAGTGAGCAGTGTGTACCCCTCCATCCTTGGCCTCTACACTCAACATATATCTACTGGTCTCTTCAAAGTCCAATGTACCATTGGTTGTAATGTCACCAGTATTTGGGTTGAGATTGAAGAGAAGGCTGGTACTTGTTGGGGCATTGAGGAAGGCATAGGTAATCTCTGCATTAACGCCCTGGTCCTGGTCGGTGGCCATCACTTGCAACACAGAAGTCCCCCAGGGCACGTTTTCTCGGATGTTAACACTGTATGTGTCCTGGCTGAACAATGGAGCATTATCATTGGCATCAGTGACCTGAATCTGGATCTGGGTGGTTCCACTTAACGGAGGGTCTCCACCATCTATGGCAGTCAGGATTAACTGGTAGGAACTCTGCTGTTCTCTGTCCAGAGGTTTTTCCAGAAGTAATTCTGGGTATTTACTCCCATCAGGACTTCCCTTCGTTGTCAGGGAGAAATGTTCATTGGGGTTGATAGTGTATATCTTCAGGGAGTTACTTTCTACATCTGCATCTTGTGCAGAATCCAGAGGGAATTTTACACCTGGTAAGGCTGACTCGCAGATCTCCAAGTCAATGCCTTTTGCAATGAAACGTGGTGCATTGTCGTTAATATCTTGGATTGTAACAATCACATGGAAAACATTCATGGGATTTTCAGCGACCATTTCAAATTCTAGTGCACACTCGGATTTCCTCCCACAAATTTCCTCTCGATCTATCCTACCGTTCACTAACAAATCCCCACTCTCTGCACTCACACTGAAGAAATTCTCTGCACTAACCCGCAGTTTTCGAGCTGGCAACTCCTGGACACTGAGCTTCAAGTCCTTGGCGACGTTCCCCACTCGCAAGCCTTTAGCCAGCTCCTCTGGAATTGTGTACTGGATGTGCTGGGAGATAGTCCCCCACAACAAAGACAGCAGGAAGAGAAACAGTACCTGAATTTTCATCCATTTGGCTTTTCTGGAGCTTCTTTGCATTTTTTTAACTCTCCGGGAAGCTTCTTTTCAGGATGTCTCTGGGATGTTTAAAAAAAAATCAGTGACAGCACCTAGACTTTTGTGATTTGAGGGTAGGACTTGTTTGTCAGGAACTGGTGGGTGCACTGGCGCTGCCTCCGCGTTCTGATGTGCGCAAGACAAAGCAGGAAAACACTGCCCAACCTTCACGCAGAACTGAGAACCCCTTTCTTCCCTTCGGTCAACAGCGGCGCTCGGAGGTTGTCTGGGAGAATTGCATATTGCGGAGCCATTTACTCTATCTTTATTATTTCATAAGTGTTGCTATCATTTTACATTCTTTTTTGTATTAAAAATTTCACATGGCATACAACCATTTTTTTTCAGTTTTGGGGGCAAAAATATCTTTAATGATTCCACTGTATTTACAAACACTGGCATGACTAGTATGGATGTAACCAAAAAATTACTGGCTTTTTACCCACATTTGAGCGGATACTATGATCCTTACATTTTTGTGAAATGCATAAACTCCCTTATTTTAACTCCCTCCATAAATATGTTATCAACTCAGTAATACTTTTCAAAGATACAGTCTTTGCAAAAAAAAAGAGTGAATCAAGACCCTAGACTTATTTTAATATATTGCTCAATTTTTTAAAACATAGGTAATCTTCCCATTAAGTACAGCACAGCACAGCCTAATATTTTAAAGTGACTAATTTAGTACACCTGCTTTTATACAGCTGAATCTTGTGAAAGATTTATTTTACTTATTTTTATGCAATCAGTGCTTTTTACTATATTAATGTATATACAACCTCCATAATCCCAATACTCAGCTCCAGCTGATTTATACCATTTATACCATTGAATTTATACCAATGAATTTGACTTGATCACTAGTAAATATTGGAGAGGCATTGAGAATCCTTAGACACTTCATTTTGGAACTTAGCCTTTGATCTTTGAACTCATATTGGGTAACTAAAGCAAATACCTTTATTTCAAATGCACTGCCAAATTATATACCAATGTAGTGATTTATTCCACTGCTTTGCACCCACCATACTCATATTACACCCCAGTCAAAACAGATGATTATCTATTTTCCGAAGATGTTATTTTCATTTTTTTCTCTACCTCATGACTTTATATCTTCTGTTCCTTTTGCCATAAATCCTCCACCTTTCTGTTGTAATGAATTCTTGCCCATCCTTTTTTTTTAATTTTTTTTAACGTTTATTTATTTTTGACACAGAGAGAGACAGAGCATGAACTGGGGAGGGTCAGAGAGAGGGAGACACAGAATCTGAAACAGGCTCCAGGCTCTGAGCTGTCAGCACAGAGCCCGATGCGGGGCTCCAACTCACGGACTGCGAGATCATGACCTGAGCCGAAGTCGGCCGCTTAACCGACTGAGCCATCCGGGTGCCCCTTGCCCATCCTTTTAAATGTAGTTTTTGGTGGGGGCACCCGGATGGCTCAGTCGGTTGAGCATATGACTTCGGCTCAGGTCATGATCTCATGGCTCGGGAGTTCGAGCCCCGCATTGGGCTCTACGCTGACAGCTTAGAGCCTGAAGCCTCCTTCTGATACTGTGTCTCCCTTTCTCTCTGCCCTCCCCCTCTTGGGTTCTGTGTCTCTCTCTCTCAAAAATAAATAACTTCTAAAAAAAATTTTTAAGTCCTGTATGGTGAAAATGGAATATCTGAGACTTTTCATTATCTATACAAGTAGATAGAAATTGTACTGCCTTTGTACTATCTGTACACTTTCACAATATTTAGATAAATGTTATTTATCTAATATTTAGGCTTTGTTTTATATAGGATTCTTAGAAAATTCTCTTTGAGTATCTAGAGTTCCCATGGCACTATCCATTTAATAATTTTTCTCTTTATGAGGAAAGTGATACTAGTATTATAAAGATTTTTCCTTAAAGAAGGTATTTTGAAGATTATGGGCCTTTTTTCCTGTACTGTATTGCACGTTTGAGTGAAAATATACCTTTCTCTGCTCTCAGTTATTTTGCTCAGGCCCCACGTCTCACACTCTTGAATATATCTCTTTCTAATATATTGAGAGAGATATTGGTTCCTTTATTTGAATTCTTTTTTTTTATTTTTTTAACGTTTTTATTTATTTTTGAGACAGAGAGAGACAGAGCATGAAGGGGGGAGGGGCAGAGAGAGAAGGAGACACAGAATCTGAAGCAGGCTCCAGGCTCTGAGCCATCAGCCCAGAGCCCGACGCGGGGCTTGAACTCACGGGCTGCGAGATCGTGACCTGAGCTCAAGTCGGACGCTTAATCGACTGCGCCACCCAGGCGCCCCTTCCTTTATTTGAATTCTAATGAAATATATTTGGTCTCATTTTGTTTGACTCTCTGAGGTGATTTCATGGGTGAATATAATTTCATAAATTTCAAAATAGGCCAACAATTTCTGGCTCAAAAGACTTGTAGGACTCCTATTCCATTGTTGGAGTGGCTTGTCTGGAAATCTCCTGCTGACGCTGAGACATATCTCCTTGCGTTTTTAAAAAATCCTTCTCAAAGGACAAGACATGCCACTCCAAAACTCATAATGATTTAGGCAATTGACCTTCCCACCTTCAAGCAAAAAGCTGAAATCAGTATGAGTGCACACAATCACCCACACATACTTTCGGTATACATAGTAAGGACTACAGGACAGATAAAACCATTTGACCAATCTGTACATTTTTTTACCCAACAATTTTTATGTCATTGAGATGAAGAGTTTGGCCTGGCTTGGTAGGAGCTGAGCATCATTTTATTGGAGACTAAAATATCTAGTATTCATATTTTTTACTTGTATCAGTCAGGATAAGCTAAGTAGTTGGAGTGACAAACTTCAAATCACAGGAAGTTAAGATGAAGAAGGTCTATTTATCACACGTATACACATCAATGTAGGACAACCACAGGGCTCTTTCTTGGTGTAGTTATTCAAGCAGTAAGGTAGAAGGAAGAGTCACAACTTCAAAAAATAACTTAGAGATCTGGAAATTCTTGCAATGCCATTGGGAGCTTTCCCCAGGGAGAAGCACATATTACCTTCATTTACAATATATTGGCCAGAACTAGTTACCTAGACCCACTCGGTCATAACCAGGTCAGGAAGATCCGCTCTACCAACCGCCCAAAAGAAGAGAGGAACTAATTATTTAAACAACAGAACTAATGACTACCATGTTGCTTTATTTTCAAATAAATGTATATTAAATCTTTATAAAATCACACTGGCATACCTGTTCTTTATAATATTCCAATAAAGAAATAAACCTACCTCGAGTAGGTTGGTGTCTCCTTTCGTTTCCAGTAAATCTTGAGATACCAGGAAAGACTCGCTTTTCCCACAGCTTTCTCCGCTGAGGAGCGTGTCCGCATAGTTGGGCTGCGGGAAGATCACGTGACTCTCCCGGGAGTCCCCCCTGAGGGAGACCTCCTGGGAATAGGTCTGCAGGAAAGTTCGCACCCCATCCACGCCCACGAAGTGCGTGGCGGGCACGCCAGCCAATCCAACCCCCGCAGCCTGGAGCAGACGGGACGAGTGCCAGCGCCTCAGCCTGAGTCCCAGCAGCACGATCACAAAGGCCAGAAAGATGCAGGAGACTGCAGCCACCGCCACCACCAGATACAGTGTGAGGTCAGAATCTTCTGGGTTGGCGGCGGTCCTGATGCTGCCCAGATCGGCCAGGACGTCTGGGATGTTGTCAGCTACGGCCACAGTGAGCGTGACGGTGGCCGAGAGAGGGGGCTGGCCGTGGTCTTGCACCGCCACCACTAGGCTTTGCTTGAGCGCATCTCTGTCCAGCAAGGCCCGTGCAGTGCGCACCTCGCCCGTGTGCAGCCCCACCGTGAAGAGCCCTGGCTCGCTGGCCTTGAGTAGACGGTAGGACAGCCAGGCGTTCTGGCCAGAGTCTCTGTCCACCGCCACCACCTTGGTCACCAGGTAGCCGGGCTCTGCTGATCGGGGCGCCAGCTCCACGCCTGTGGAACCATCAGTGGGGAGAGCGGGATACAGGATTTCTGGAGCATTGTCGTTCTGGTCCAGCACGAATATGCTCAGTGACACATTGCTGCTGAGGGCTGGGTTCCCACTGTCACTGGCTGTCACCAATAGCTGCAGGTCTCTAACCTGCTCGTAGTCAAAGGAACGGAGAGCATACAGGACACCGGTGTCGGAATTGATGGAGACATAAGTGGATAGAGGCGCCCCCTGGATGGTATCCTCAGTCAGTGCGAAAGTGATGTGGGCGTTCTGGATGCTGTCGGGATCCTGGGCGGTCACACAGAAGATGGAAGCTCCCCTGGGATTGTTTTCGGGAATGTAGGCTGAATACGAGGCCTGACTGAAAGCAGGTGGGTTGTCATTGATGTCTGCAACATGCAGAGTGATATGAATGTTCGTGGACAGTGGGGGGCTTCCTCCATCTGTGGCTCTGAGAGTGATGTTATATTCAGACACCTGTTCACGATCCAGAGATCTGGCTGTCACTAAGCGGTAATACTGGTCTATTGATTTTTCTAAATTAAATGGCACATTTCCCAGGACAAAAACTGTGACTTGTCCATTTTGCCCAGAATCTCGGTCATGCACATTGATAAGGGCAATTTCTCTTCCAGCAGTAGCCTCTTCTGGGACTGATTCAGTAAGAGAAGTGATTGTTACTTCTGGGGCATTGTCATTCACATCCAGAACTGTGACTAAAATCTTAGCTCTTGAAAGGAGACCAGGTCCATCTTGTGCTTCAATTTTAATTTCATAGAACATAGCATCCTCATAATCTAGACTTTTTAATATTGATATATCTCCAGTCACTGAATTGAGATAAAAAATCTCAGTGACTTTCCCAGGCATTTTATCTAGAATATAGGACACTTGAGCATTGAATCCTTCATCAGGGTCAGTGGCATTCACTGTGAGCAGTGTGGTACCCACTGGCAAGTTCTCTTGAATACTTAATTGATACTCAGATTGAGTAAATACTGGTGGGTTGTCATTTGCATCCAAAACTATCACTTGGATGTACAAGCTGCCAGAGTGGACAGGATTCCCACCATCAGAAGCAATGAGGACAAGCTGATGAACTTTCTTTTGTTCACGGTCCAGAGCCCTCTCCAACACCAGCTCTGGGTACTTGGTCCCATCAGAGACATGCTTCACAGTCAGAGAAAAGTAGTCATTGGGGCGGAGATGGTAGTTCTGAAGGGAGTTCATGCCCACATCTGGGTCAAATGCAGTCTTAAGTGGAAATCGAGTTCCAGGAGCCGCTAGTTCGCCAATTTTTATTTCCAATTTCTCTGTTAGAAAATCAGGAGCATTATCATTAATGTCTTTAATTTCTATTTCTACTTCAAAAATTTTCAATTTGTCTTCTACAAGGACGTTAAATTTTACAAGACATAGCGCGCTCTGAGCGCAGAGCTCCTCCCGGTCTATCCTGCTTGCGGTGACCAAGCTGCCGCTTCGCGGGTTCAGAGCAAAGAGCTGCTTCCTACCTCTAGAGATGATGCGGACTCCACGTTCCGCCAGCTCCCAGGGCTCCAATCCCAGGTTCTTGGAGATGTTGCCCACAAAGGAACCTTTGTCCAGTTCCTCTTGCACTGAGTAGTGGATCTGCCCGGATCCAGTCTTGCATAGCGTCCACAGAAGCACAAACAGCAGGGCCAATCCTCTGCAGTGTCTGAATCTCAGGTATTTAGTCATTTCTTCTTTGGTGAATTATTTTCTGTGAATTCCGTTCCAACTACCCACGACGGACTCAAATCTTATTTGTTTTCAAGGAACTAAGCCTTTTATGGTCCTATTTTATGGGTCACAGAGCTGGTTGACTGACAGGATGAGCTTTGTAGCAGCTCGGATCTTCTGGAGTCTGATTGACTGGTTCTTTGCTTTTTAGGAACAAGGAAATGGTGGACAAGCTCGCCAGCCCCGTTTTCCTCCTTGAGTGGTCAGCAGCGACACTCAGAGGCCTAATGGTTTACTGCACCCTTTCAGATAAACGCAAGTTAGTGATTTTTAAGTTTCCCAACACCCGAAATCTTCTGTATCAGAGGTAATGGGATTGGTGTCTATTTCACACAGTTCAATTGTTATATGTTAAAGTATGATATATGTTAAAGTATGTTCCTTAGGAAGCCATGCTCTAACCTTAAGACCACTAATATTGCTTCAAACATGCTGGAGTTACTGTTTTGAAATGTTCAAAGTTTAAAAACCACACCGAAATATCAGCTATATTTATAGGTTATACTCATTAAAGTTTGTCCTTGATAGCCTGACATCTTAGTTTCAATATCTGTAATTGAACCCATTCATTAAACATAATTGGGTGTTAGACAATATGTGAGGATTCAAGGTAAATGATATGAACATAACCACTTCCTCCCCAAAGCTAGGTAGATATAAAATCAAACAAGGAATTCCAGTGCACTGAGATAATTACCATAATGGAAGAAACCAAAGGTAATGGGAGGGCCTCCAACCTGGCCCTGGAGGTTAGCAAAGGCTTTCCCAAGAAACATGAGAAAAGTGGATCAGGGAAAAGGCCTGGATATGAGAGACAACAGTATGGCAATTTCTAGATGTGAGAGAGAAATCACACAACTTCAGAGTACTGGAAGTAGTTCACTTTGTCTAAATCTAGAGTAAAGGTGGTTTTTAAACACCAAAACTGAAACTAGTAGAGATAAAATTTTGTTTTATGTTCCAGAAACCTTTTCTCTGTATTTGTTTTCCTCTCCAAACACAGAAATAGAAATATATTTGTCATTTCAATTATGCAGTGTTATAAACTTATCCATAAGGCATTTATTCTTGTGAAAAAATACTATACACACTAAAAGAAACTTTGTCTTTAATTTTCCTCAGTTTAAACTTTATTACTTAGAAGTAAAGATGTTATGATGTATTATTCCACAGTGAGTTCCAGTTTTAGCTCATAGAGAATTATGTAATAGTAATAAACACAAGAGACTGCATTGACTCAGATCAACTCTCCTCAAATGCCCTAAAATATAATAAAAAATCACAGCACCTTGAAAGATGATAATACCATTAAATACAATACTCAGTATATGATTGCTTCCAAATCACAATTTAAAGTGATCCCAGTTACATAGAATATTAGTGTATTTTTTTGTTCTTCATTATTAAATTTTTTTAACGTTTTTATTTTTATTTTTGAGACAGAGAGAGACAGAGCATGAACGGGGGAGGGTCAGAGAGAGAGGGAGACACAGAATCTGAAACAGGCTCCAGGCTCTGAGCTGTCAGCCCAGAGCCTGACGCGGGGCTCGAACTCACGGACTGTGAGATCATGACCTGAGCCGAAGTCAGACGCTTAACCGACCAAGCCACCCAGGCGCCCCTGTCCTTCATTATTAAAAACATAACTGAAACACTAAAAGCCAACATAGAAAGAGGAATGAGGAAGGAAGACAGTGGTTGTGAGGGAGACTGAAGTTAAGTGAAGGATTGGAAATATTTTTAACAGTTGTTCTGAGAAGGAATCTTTGAGAAGAGAGATATATAAGAAGGATCTTTAAGGGCTATTATTTGATATAGCCTCTGAATCCCTTGAGGACATATTATTTTTAAAGATAAAAAGTAAATATGGTTTCCAGATATGAGAAAATAAAAATATCAAAGAGAAATGTGTTTACTATTGCACTACCCATTTATTATAGAGCAAACAAGAATTTAATCACTTCATCAACCAACACAGAGCTACTTTAAATACTTTTTTTTAACATTGATTCATTTTTGAGAGACAGAGGGTGAGTTGGGGAGGGGCAGAGAGAGAGGGAGACACAGAATCTGAAGCAGGTTCCAGGCTTTGAGCTGTCAGCACAGAGCCCATTGCAGGGCTCGAACCTATGAACTGTGAGATCATGGCCTGAGCCAAAGTCAGACACTTAACTGACTGAGCTACCCAGGCACCCCAACACAGAGCTACTTTAAAAGTCAGTGGAATTTTTAATTACATGGAGATACCATGACATACTTTTCTAAGACACAGTGAACATATATATTTCTAAATTTCCATATTTTAAATAGGGAAGATCATATGAATCAAATAAAATGAAGAAACTCACTGTCAAACTGAAGGAAAAATATTACAACTGAGTGAAGGCATTAGACAACTAAAGTGTTTCATTATTCATAGGTTGAAATATAAAACAAAACCCTTGGATTTTAAAGCACTTGAGTAAACATAAAATTCAGACTTCCTTTTTTTTTTTTAAATAAACTCTACCACCATATGGAGCTCAAACTCCCCACCCCAAGATCAAGAGTAGCATGCTTTGCTGACTGAGCCAGCCAGCCGCCCCTCAATCTTCCTATTTTTAATAGAGAAAGAATTATTGATCCAGGTAGACAAGAAGATTTGCCCAGGGAGGAGAAAGAAAGTATGAGAAACCAGATACACCATTTCCTAATGCAATGCTCTTTGATAACCTGAATATAATATTCACCCAATACTAACTCCTGATTTAAATTCATGATACAATGATCCTAGCCTCCTCTTCCCCCGTACAAGGTGTAAACACTTAGAACTACTGAGAAATAATTCACCAGGACTCATGTCCTTAAAAGGGATATATTCACAACTAAATATGCAAAACAGAAAACATGTGGTAAACAATGGAGGCAGCGGAGTAAATAAACATATTTATTTATTTTAGCAATGCCTCATAAGTATACCGTGAAGGGAGTTTACCTGGGATGTTTCTTCTCCTTTGTCTTCAAGTAAAGACTGAGGTGATGATAGAAAATCCTTTTTCTCACAGCTCTCCTGGCTGAGGAGCATGTCGGCATAGTTGGGCTGGGGGAAGATCACGTGACTCTCCCCGGAGTCCGCGGTGAGGGAGACCTCGTGGGAATAGGTCTGCAGGAAAGCCCGCACCCCGTCCACGCCCACAAAGTGAGAGGCGGGCACGCCCACCAGCCCGCCTCCTGAAGCCTGGAGCAGACGGGATGAGTGCCAGCGCCTCAACCTGAGTCCCAGCAGTACTATGACAAAGGCGAGGAAGACGCAGGAGACTGCGGCCACCGCCACTACTAGGTACAGTGTGAGGTCAGAATCATTTGGGTCGGCGGGGGTCCTGGTGCTGCCCAGATCGGCCAGGACGTCTGGGATGTTGTCAGCTACGACCACGGTGAGCGTGACGGTGGCCGAGAGAGGGGGCTGGCCGTGGTCCTGCACCACCACCACCAGGCTCTGCTTGAGCGCATCTCTGTCCAGCAGGGCCCGTGCAGTGCGCACCTCGCCCGTGTGCAGCCCCACCGTAAAAAGCCCTGGCTCGCTGGCCTTGAGCAGACGGTAGGACAGCCAGGCGTTCTGGCCAGAGTCTCTGTCCACCGCCACCACCTTGGTCACCAGGTATCCGGGCTCTGCGGATCGGGGCGCCAGCTCCACGCCTGTGGAACCGTCGGTGGGGACGGCGGGGTACAGGATTTCTGGTGCGTTGTCATTCTGGTCCAGCACGAATATACTCAGTGACACGTTGCTGCTGAGGGGCGGGTTCCCATTGTCCCATGCAGTCAACCTCAGGTGCAAATCCTGGAACTGCTCATAGTCAAAGGAGCGCAATGCATAAAGGATGCCAGTGTCAGAGTTGATGGAGATGTAAGAGGACAGGGGTGCATCCTGAAGAGTGTCTTCAGTGAAAGAGTAAGTTACATGGGCATTATCGTCACTGTCAGGGTCATGGGCCACCACAGAAATGATGGAAGCACCCCTGGGATTGTTTTCAGGAATGTAGGCAGAGTAGGACATGTGAGGGAAGGTGGGTGGGTTGTCATTAATGTCTGCCACCTGCAGCGTAATGTAAGCATCCGTGGACAGAGATGGTTTTCCTCCATCTTTAGCAGTCACAGTGACGTTGTAAGAGGAAAACTGTTCCCTGTCAAGGGCTCTGGTTGTAACCAGTCGGTGGTAATTGTCCACTGATCTTTCTAACTTGAAAGGAAGGTTCTCTGGGAGTGAACATGTGATAAATGCATTCTGCCCAGAGTCTCTGTCATGTACATTAAAAAGTGCAATTATGGTTCCTGGAGGAGAGCCTTCAGGAATTGAACTGGTAGAAGATGTCATGTCAAATTCTGGGGCATTGTCATTCACATCCAGAACAGTCACAATAACCTTTGTTCTGGTCAGAAGGCCCGGACCATCCTGAGCTTCAATATCAATTTCATGGACTTTGGCATCTTCATAATCTAGACTCTTTATGATTGTTATATCTCCAGATGTCGACTCAAGCTCAAATATCTCTGAGGTTTCTCCAGGATTTTTCTCTTGAAAATATGCTACTTGGGCATTGTATCCCTCATCTGTGTCAGTGGCGGTGACTGTGAGTATCCGGGTACCTACGGGCATACTCTCAGGAACACTTACACGGTACTCAGGCTGTGTAAATATAGGTGCGTTGTCGTTCGCATCCAGGACAGTCACGTGGATGCGGGAGGTGCCAGATCGGACCGGGCTGCCCCCATCCAAAGCCACAAGGACGAGGTGGTGAACAGCCTTCTCTTCGCGGTCCAGGGCGAGCTCCAGCACCAGCTCAGGGTACTTGTTCCCATCCACTCCGCTTCGCACAACCAGGGAAAAGTGATCATTTGGGTTCAGTTCGTACTTCTGAAGGGTGTTTTCTCCTACGTCTGCATCGTGCGCACTCTTGAGAGGAATTCGGAATCCTGGCGTAGTGGTTTCACTGATTTTTAGCTCTAGTTCATCTACTCCAAAGCGAGGGGCATTATCGTTAATATCT